CTCGGGGGCTCTGCCCAACCACCTCGGCCATGTCCCCACCTGCTGCTTCCCTATGTCCCTGTCTGTGGGTCCTTCCTTGTCTTCCTACTGCCTCTGAGTATCTCATCCCTCTGATTCCCTGTCCTTTTTAATATATATATAGATATATATAGATAGATTGATTTCAGAGAGAGGAAGGGAGAGGGAGAGAGACCTCAATGATGAGAGTCACTGATCGCCGCCTCCTGCACGCCGCCCGCTGGGGGTGGAGCCCCAAACCCCGCATGTGCTGGACCAGGAATCCAACCTCAGCCTCCTGGATCCTAGGTCGATGCTCAACCGCTGAGCCACGCCGGCCGGGCCCCTGCCCCTCTGCCTGTCCCTTCACTTGCTGTCTCTGTCACCATCTCTGTGTCTCAGTCTTTCTCCCGTCTCTGCCCCAGAAGCTCTGCCCGTCTGTGCCTCTGTCACTGGCCGGCGTTCTCTCCCCCTTCCCCACGTTAGGGCCACGGACTCTCCAAATGTCCTGCCACAAGTCCACTCCCAGAGGACAGGGCCAGCCGTAGAAGAAATCAGTTTGGTGCTAGCCCCACCGGACAGTCCCCTGTGATTCTGGGACTTAAAGAAAAAAATACGGTCACCTCCATTCCTGCCTGTGCCCCCCCCCCCAACCCCTGCTCAAGGAAGGCATGGCCTGGGGTGGAGCCTTCCCCGGACACTTCCCGTTCCTCTAAGGAGGCAGCCAAGGCTGGCTACCTGGCCCCAGGGAGTGGGAGTGGGCAGTGGTGAGGGGGCAGCATCCTGGGTCTGAGGGAGGCGGGGTCTGGAGGCCTGGACTCCTGGGTCCCAGGGGAGGAGGTGGACAGTCCCCATGAGATCCATGACTCCTGCCAAGGTCTGCAGTTGGGAAGCATTTATTACCACTAAGTGACCATGACAGAGCAGGGAGGGGGGAGGTGACACTGAGGCTGCTACAATCAGTCCCCTAGAGGCAGTGATTAAGGGCTCATTACCAGCGGGGCTGGCGAGTGGGTGGGGGCTTGGGAAAGGCAGCTCGGAGAGGACTAGTTAGGGTGTGTGGAGGTGATGAGCACAGTCTAGACAGACAGAGGAAGAAGGGACACTCCCAAGGGGGAAGTTGATGCAGGACACTCCCAGGAATGATTGTGAAAAGAGCTGGTTCCAGGGAGAAGCCAGAGCTGGGAGCATGGCAGGCAGGGGCTGGTCACGGCTTCTCCAGCTGGACGTCTCCAATGTGGAGGCTGCCCACGTCCTGGTAGGTGCCCTGGAGGCCCCGGGAGATGTCCTCGTACATGGAGCAGTCATCAAGATTCAGGCCCTAGGTGCAAAGAAAGTGGTGGTGGGCCTCAGTGTCCTGATGCCTGGGTGCCTGCCCCCAGCCTACCCCAGAGGACCCCCATGAGACCCCCAACACACTTGCTCCTAACCTGTCCCCACCCTCCACTCACCTCATAAAGATTTTCATCCTCATAGTCATCCCGGGTGTCCACCCCGAACTTCACGTTCTGCCATCGTTTCTGTGGGGGAATTGGGAGCCTCAGTGGGGGTGGGGGAGCATGTTTTTGGGCCCTTCTAGGTGCCAGGAGGAGCTTTACCAGAGCAAGTAAGGGACCTTGCTCAAAGCCACATATTGGGTCAGTGGCAAGTCTCTCGGGGTCTGAGCCGGCGTCCTTTTGGCTGTCTCACCCCCTGAATGCTCTCCGTGGATAACCACATCAATAGTAAATAGCTGTCGTTGGCCTGTGGCCTACAGAGCCCGCAGGTCAGAGACTCTGGCAGGACCCCCAGCCCCCATCTTCGCTGGCCTTGGCCATATCTGGAGGGCCACAGTACCCCTGGGTCCGGGAGAGTAAAGCAGGGATGTGGGGGGGGGGGTGTTAGAGTGAGAACAACCCTAGAGAGGGATGAAGACAGGCACGGCCCCCAGCACCGTGTAAAACCCTGGCACCCTATTCATTTGTTTACCCCCCACGGCCCCTAGGGGGCGGCGCTGCCACTCTCCCCAGCTTTGGGTGGGGACCCTCAGGCTCCAGGGCCTGGCCCCAGGTGGCTCACCCTGAACAGCAGCAGTGTCCCGGGCACCACAGCGCAGAACAGCAGGATGATCCCCTCGGCTGTGATGATGTTGTTCTTGGTGCCCTCGCCCATGTCCAGGAAGGGCCTGGGGGTTGGCTCTGTGAGGAGAGGGGCGCTGCTCAGAGCCCTGGCGCCCGGCCCCACTGAAACCCCGCTCTGCGGCTGAGAGGTGGGTGGGTGTGTGGGAGCCGGGACTGGGGATGCCCCTGAGGCAGCACCGGCCCCTCCGTACTTCCCAGCGGAGCCGAGAGGCCCCAGCTGCCCAGCCGGGGGGCCCTGGGGCCCGGGACCCGCACTCACCGCGCACACGGAGGTAGGTGCCGCAGGAGCTCAGTACCGTGCTGTCTTCCTTAACGTGGCACTTGTACAGGCCTCTGTGGCTCTTGTTCACCGATGAGATGACCAGCTCACCCACGTGGCCCTGGCCCACGCCCTGGAACTGAGGGGGCCACGTAAAGTTGCCCTGGATGATCCGCCACCACGTGATGTTGGGGCTGCTGCCGGGGCGGCTGTAATTGTGCAGGCACGGGAGGCGGGCCTCCTCTCCCACGATCACCGTCACCGAAGGCGGGCCCCAGTGCACCCAGAGGGTCTGGACCCCTGGGCCTGCAAAGAGGAAGATGAGGCAGGCGCTGGGCATGAGGACGCAGGCTCCGGCCGGCCCCTGCGGCTGCAGCACTCCTGGGGGTGTGGGGGGCTATGAGAACACACCTGGGGGAGAGGGAGATGTGGGGGACAGAGGACACACAGTGCTGGGACAGGGAGTGAGGGGGTACCTAGGGGAGGAGAGAGAGACCCCTGGGAAGGGAGAGAGGACACACCTTGGGGGAGGGTGTTTGAGGACATCTGGGGGAGGAGAGTAAGACACCTGGGTGGTGACACACCCCTAGGGGTCCCCTCCTCTACAGTGCCATCTCTTGCATTCGGATACTTGGTTCCTTGGTGCCAGAGTGTCCCTGCCCAGGCAGCAGCTTCCAGAATCAGTTTGGGCGTCGCCTCCTCCTGAAGGCTTTCCTGGTCTCCTTTCCCAGCCCCGGCCCGGCCCAGCCCTGCACCTGACACTATCTTACATAATTTTCACAAAACCCTTAGAAGAAGGTTCTTTCCTTTTGCCATTTTTCAGGTGGGACAGCAGAGGCCCAGGGCAGCAGGAGTGGTGGTGGGGGGGGAGTGGCTCAGACCCCAGGCCCCCTGGGCAGCCTCCTGCCAGTCTTTGGGTCTGCCTTGCCCCCTGTCCCTGAGCCCGCCCCTCATTCTCTGTAACTTGCACGTGTCAACCTGGGGGTCAGGGTGGGTGGTGAGAGGGAGCTGCGTGGCCCAGCCTGGCTGCTCCGGGGAGCCCCAGCTTTCAGCGCCTGGGCCAGTCCACGTGGCTGCTCTGCCTCTTCTGGAGAGGAAAGGAGGGAGGTGAGGGAGGCGAGGGAGAGACCGGGAGGAAGTGGGGAAAGAGGCAGCAATCTCAGGTTCTTGGGCTCCATTCCGGGCTCCCAGTGTAACCTTGTGTGATCAGCTGCCACTCTGAACTCCTGGGTCACAGCCCTGCCAGCTGGCATTGCTGAGGGAGGGGAGGGAGGGCGGTGTCCTGAGGCACCCCTCCCCCAGCACTGAGAAGGGTCTCCCTGTGCAGGGGGGAGACTGGGAGTCAAGGCAGAGAGAGGGAAAGCTTTTGCCCTCTGAAGCTGAGCGCACCCCCAGGGCCCTTCTGCCCCAGCTCCGAAGCTCAGGCAAGGGTGACCCTAGTTCCTCATTTTGACCTGTGGCTCCTGCCTCCCTCCGTGGGGTGGCAGATGCCCCTTTCACTTCGCTGAGCCCCCTTCAGCCTCCCCTAGGCCTGTTTGGGACAGTCAATCAGACAGACAGACAGACAGATGCAGTTTCTGCGGAGGCCTTTCCCAGCTCCCCTCCTGCTGGCCCCTCTCTGCCCCCTATCTTGCAGCCCTTCTCCCTGCCTGGGCCTTCTCTCCAGCCTCTCCAGTCCCCCCTTCTCTCCCAAGTACCGGCCTGTTAGCACATACCCAGGCCAGCAACAGAGATCAGGAGGAGGAAGATCGCGCCAGGCGGGGCTTGCGGGACTCCCGGACCCCCAGGCATCTTCTCCCGGTGGGTTGGTTCGTCTGGGTTGTAGCAGTCCTGGGGTACCAGATCCCACCTCGGCGGGCCCCAGACTCCGCCCCACTTCCTGCCCAGCCCTGCCGGAGATGGGCTCCACTGGCCCCACTGCTGGGCCCTTCGGCTGTCAGGCCAGGAGTAGCTGGTGCCAGTGTGCTTCAGGACGTGAGCTGAGAGGAACTGCTCCCTGCACCTGCGGTGGCCACAAGTCCCCTGAGAGGAGGTTGCTTGGGTGGGGGAAGAGGCTAGTTCAAGGCCTGGCCCCTCACTGGGTGCCTGCTGTGTGCAGGCGGTCAAAACAGTGACTCGGAGCTCCCTTAGCCTTAGTCCCCATTGGCCTTGGCAAAACCTGTGCCCCGTGCTCGCTTTGGCAGCACATATACTAAAACTGGAACGATACAGAGAAGATTAGCATGGCTCCTTCCAAAGGGCGACATGCAAATTCATGAAGTGTTCCATAGTTTTAATATCAATTAGAATCTATGCGCCCCTATGTTCATAGCAGTACAATTTACAATAGCGAAGATCTGGAAACAGCCCAAGTGCCCATCAGTAGGTGAGTGGATAAAAAAGCTGTGGGACATTCACACCATGGAATACTACGCAGCTGTAAAGAAGGATCCCTTACCCTTTGAGACGGCATGGAGGGACCTGGAGAGTATTATGCTAAGCGAAATAAGCCAGGTGGAGAAAGACAAGCATGACATGATCTCACTCATATGTGGAATCTAATGAACAAAATAAGCTGATGAAAAAAATAGATCCAGAGACATAGAAGCATGGGACAGTTGGAGGAATTTCAGAGGGAGGGTCGGGGGGGGATGGGGGGAAGTAATCAAGAACTTACATGCATGTGTACATGACCTATAGACACAGACAATAGTGTGGAGAAGACATGGGGGGGAGGGCCTGGATGCAGGGTGGAGGGGATCAATGGGGGGAAGGGGACATCTGTAATACTTTTAACAATAAAGATAAATTTTTTAAAAACCCAAGAAAAACCCTGTGCTCTGTCCGAGCCTCTGTGTGCCCGCCTCATGGGGTTGGAAGTGAGGATTTAAAAGCAGGGCGTTGTGAGTGCACAGCACTGAACACAGTACCCGTCACACAGTGGGTGCTCAGTACATGTTGGTTACGATTAATGCTCATGAGGAATAAATGAGGCAGGTCAGCTGGCTCTATGACTAAGTGGTGGCTTTTTTTTTTTTTTGGTTAATTCTCACCCTAGGAGGATATTTTTTCCATTGATTTCTTTAGAGAGAGTGGAAAGGGAGGAAAGGAAGGAGGGAGGGAGGGAGGAAGAGAGAGAGAGAGAGAGAAAAAAACATCGATGTGAGAGAGATGTTGCTTCCCACACGCGACCCGCCCAGGGCCAGGATCGAACCTGCAACCCAGGTAGGTGCCCTTGACCGGGAATAGAACCGGCAACCCTTCGGTGTGAGGGCTGACACTCTAACCACTGAGCCACAGCAGCCAGGGCAAGCCTTGGCATTTAAAAAAAAATATATCTTTATTGATTTCAGAGAGAGGAATGGCGAGGGAGAGAGAGAGAAACATCAATGATGAGAGAGTCATTGATTGGCTGCCTCCTGCACGCCCCCGACTGGGGGTTGAGCCCGCAACCCGGGCATGTGCCCTGCCTGACTGGGAATCGAACCGCAATCTCTTGGATCCTAGGTTGATGCTCAACCGCTGAGCCACGCCGGCTGGGCCAGCCTTGGTATTTTTATCCAAGAACCGAGGGAGGAAAAGAATATCTCCCTGGTGTTGTGACATGAGATATCCCCGGTACCCAAGGAGTTAAGAGCCACAAAGGGCTCTTCCTTGGTGTTCTTTCATTTCAGCCTCCCCACAAGTAGGCAAGACCTCCTACTTGAGGTCCAGAGAGGGAATGCCATCACGGTCACTCGTCTGGTGTTTTGAAATCTGGTGGTGGAGCAGGGATTCTGTCACTATATGTGCCCAGGTTTCTTTGAGCAAGTTTTAGGTGAACTGAGAGAGGGAAATGAGGTCTGAGGGGTGGGGGTGGGGAATGATCCAAGGTTGCTGAGGTGTTGCTGAACAGGAGGGGATCATCACATACACACACACACACACAAGGAGACACATAGGAAAAACATTTATTGCAGGGAGATTTTTGGTAGCAAAAACTGGGAAACAAATAACAAGCCCATGCACAGGAGAATGGGTGCATACGTTGTGGTGCGGTCAGCCAATAGAGAAGTACACAGCAGGAGAAAGGCAGGACCTCACGTGTCAACAGGGCTGTAGCTGAGGAAAAAACATGAAAATGAGAAGACACGGTAGCATGATACAGTTGACTTGTTTTCAAAAGGCAAAAACAAGGCTGTGTGCTGTTACGGACATGTGTGTCTGCGGTAAAGGTGCAGACCCGTGCAGGGGAGTGACATCCAGTTGCCGAGAAGGGTTACCTCTGGGGGAAGCCAGGAGGTTGTGACTAGGGAGGGTACACAGTGGGCTTTGTCCATTTCTATTTTGTCTTATTTTATTTCTTAAGTTGGGTGGTGGGCTCACGAGTCTTTGTTACACTATCACGTACAGTTTTGCTTGCTTGAAGTGTTTCATAATTTTTTTAAAAAAGCAACTGTTACACTCACAGAAGAGCATGACCTTCAAGAATCACCATTCCTAGGTTTGAATCTCAGCTCTGCCAACTGACTGGTCATCTGAGCCTCAATTTCTTCTCCTGTACTCTGGGTACAATCCCCCCACCTTGTGAGGCTGTGAGAATATCAGTGTGCTTAGCTCAGTTCCTAGGACGAGTTCCTCTTCTCTGGCTGGGGGAGGGGGCCCTCTCCCCTTTCCTCCAGCGACCCAGGAGTTCTGTTGGGACCCTGATGTATATAGCAGGTCATTAGCTCCTTGTGCTTCAGTTCCTCATGATCCCCCTCTTAAGGAAAAAGCCTGGAATCAGAGGCTACAGCCCTAGAAATTCCCCTCCTTCCTCATGTCAGTGGCTGAGCCGGTTTCCAGGCCCGCGGCTGCCCTCCCGCGGTGGAGAGGCGCGGCCGCCAGGTTGCCGGCCCTCTCAGGCCCCGCTGGCCTGCCTGGGCACCTCCACCTCCCACTCACGCAGCACCCTTGGTGTGTGGCGCCGTACATGGGAACCAGATGCTTGGCGTTTCATTCTCATAATTCGGGGAATGTCTTCAAATCAGTTGGACAAAAGAGGTGACTGGGGCCAAAATGAGACTTTGGGCCTCATCTCCCCATTTCCCTCACTTCCGAGGGACAGCACACTGCAGTAGATAGTGTGGGGCCAGAGCCAGGTTACCTGGGTACAGGTGCTGGCCTTGCACTCCCTAGCCATGGGACATCAAACTACCCAACCTGTGACTTTCCCCTTCTCTAAACTGGAGTCTTTTTGGCACCTACTTCACAGGGTTGCAGTATAAATGATACATAGTATTTATAAAGTGGCTGCATGTGGTAGGCCCTAGAGTTTAAGTACAGTTTCCACACTGACGACTAAGCTGAGAGGGATGACAACTTCATTCCTCACTGGATGTAGGATTTGGATTTTTTGATTTTGAACATCTTGCTCTTAAATTGGGTAACGCCGATTGGCTGCTCTGAGCCTAGGCACCATCTACATATCGTACCCCAGAATCCCTCGGGAGTAAGTAGTGCTTCAGGAGAGGATTGGAAGGCTCAGAGGGGTAGGGTTGCACAGAATTAGGGGCAGAGTTGGAATTTGAACCCAAATTGTTTGGAATTCAGAGTCCAGGCTTGACATTAGAAGGAAATGGGCCCATCCGAGGAGTAAGTTGGACTGGGGCCTTGTGCAGGCCAGCTCAGCATTTGTTCTCCCCAACCAGGTGTGGCTGGTCACACGTGGGTAGTACACAGGGCCCTTTCTAGGCTCACCCGTGGCTTGGTGTGTGCCCACTGGGTATCCTTTGGTTCTGCCACACACCAGGGGCCCAAACACAGGCAGAGCTCCTCTCCCTTTGGTGCCGAGAGCCAATCACCACACAGGACTAACTGCGGAAGCTGTGCCAGGAGGGGACTGGGAACTCGGCCTCTGCACAGGCACCACAGC